TACTTGACCTAAGCCAGGAGTGCCTCATTTGAAAATAAAAAGGGGTGAATTGTGGGAACACCAGACCTTGAGCAGAGACCCACTTCCCCTTCTGCCTGGGAGTAGGCAGCTGTAAGACAATGTTTAGTAAAAACCTGTTTACTAAAAACGATACAATAAGTTCCTGGCCACTTCCCCTTCTGCCTGGGAGTAGGCAGCTGTAAGACAATGTTTAGTAAAAACCTGTTTACTAAAAATGATACAATAAGTTCCTGGGAAAGGCCTTCCCACGGAAACCGCCCTGACCTCGACCTTGTCCAGAGACTAACCGCACCTTCAAAAACCCACACACATCCACCTCTGGTGTCAGAGCAGAACCAGCGAGGGTAGAGGAGAGAGCAGAAGTTTCTCTGGTGGGAGCTTTTCTTAGGAGGTTTTCTTGAACCTTTTTGGAGCCTGTTTAAAGTTCTCTTTATATCATTGAACGAGTCTCTGTCTTTTCAATACCCGACACCCTCCGCACGTTCTCGGACACAGGCCGCACAGCAGACGTGACAACAGACAATACATTAAAGACTTCATGGCCACATTTAATGAGTGCTTTGCTCTGCTTAGGATACCCCTGATGTCTTTCTTCATAGATTCTCCATTTTGTACCATCTTAATAGGCCCAGCCTGTACCTGGAAGTACATGTTGCCCACAGTCACATTCCACACTGTTCCAAAGTAAGACCACCTCAAGCTGGGGGGCTGATACTATGGATTGCATCTAGTTACCAGAGAATCACAGATGCCAGTGACTGAGAGAAAGCAGGCTTTCTGATTGCCAGGGCCCACTCTCCTTCCCTTCTTTTGTGGTCTCACTTGTGCTGACCCTAAATGGATAAAGGATAACTGGAATCAACTCCAGAGGGAAATTATTTATGATAACTATCTGGTTGTGAGGCTTCTTCTACCATGAATCAAGAATTGAAACTAACAAGACACAAAACTGCATTTTCATGCCTGTATGGAAAAGACTTAGTAGGTTCCCATGGATCATAGTCAAAGATGCTTTTACTCAGGACACGCCCAAAAGGCAGTGGCTTAGCTTTTCCTTAATCATTAGCTGTCTTTTCTGTCTCACTCATGCTCTCATTAAACACTTTACTTGACAAAGTCTCCTTTTTCTTCAAAAAGCTCTCCCCACTCCTTGGTTTGTCTGACCTATTTATTTTGTGCGTGGGTGGTTTTTGTGACTCTGCCTGGCTCAAAATTTAATGACTGAATTTAAAGCTGTGAGCATAATGGAAACCCTTACCATGCAAGCACACCTGTTTTCCCTTCAGACTCATGCAGGGTCTGCATATCTGTGGCTGCTCAACTCAGATGGTCACAGACCCAGGTTTCCTGTTTCTAACATAGAAACCAGTTAACACACATGTCCTGCACACCACACTATACTTTGAACCAAGGGAGGCAATATACTTATGAATGGCAAAGGTCCTGGAGGGTCAGACAAGAGAACGAAGGTGAAGTAGAGAAGCAGGCATGATAAAAAAAACAATCTCAGTCATGACCTTCCTTGATGAGGCTTTATTCTCAGTAGCAACTTCTTTGCATATGGAAATTAGTGCATAAATAGGTGGTAGTTTTGTCTATAAGTTTTCAGAGTGAGAACTTGACAGTGCAAGTCCCAGAAAGCAAACAATCACAATTACCATGGTACCTCTAAAGGAATGGAGTTTCCACAAGAGCTGGGCCACTGCTGCTCAATTTCCTGCCTTTTTAGCACCCCCACTCTCAGGGAATTGGGAAACACAGTTTGCAATTCTTTTTATAAACCCTTATACAAATTGCCCTATGTGCCCCAGGATAGGGTGTTGAGGCCTCTAAAACTGTTGCTAAAGTGTCTTTTCTTAGAGATACCAACTGTTTAGTGAGTATCATGGGTAGAATATATTTCTTTCTGCCAGTTGACCCTATAGAAAGAAAAGAAGCAGGTGGGGACATTCTTGCTCTTTAGAATCAAGGACAGATCCCACAAAACTAGGGCAATAATGGAAGCATGAGTAAATCCAGTTGTTTCCTATATTCCATAGTTCACTTGCTGTGGTTTCTATCCCATGGCAGACCACAGTCAAGAAATACTAAATGGAAGATTCCAGAAATGATTCAAAAGTTTTAAGTTATGTGTCATTTTGAATAGTGCTAAGAAATTTACAGCATCTCATTCCAATTTGCCTTGTATGTGAGTCACTCTTACCAACATGTCCACGTGGTATACATTACCTACCCATTAGTCACTTCAAAGCTGTCTTTGGTGCCAGATTGACTGTGTATTTCATTCTTGTGTTCAAATAACACTTGAATACACAGCAGTAGCATAGTGCTATGGCACAATGCATTTTGTCCCCATTTCATCTCATTTTGTCAGACCTATGTTGTCTCATAGGAAGGGTGAATCTACTATTTAAGATATTTTGAAAGATGCTAGATATATATATATATATATATATAGTTTACTACCGCATATTGTTACAATCTTTTATTTTATTGTTAACCTTATTTGACTGCCTTAAAAATAAACTTTATTGTAAATATGTATATGTGGGAAAAAGCATAGGACACATGTAGGGTTCAGTATTATACAGTTTGGAGCATATACTGGGGGTGCTGCAAGGTACCCTCTCACATATGGGAAATAATTTCTATTTACTTAAATATAATGGACTCATATAGGCAAATAGTTTAATCAGAGGCCAACTTGGTATATGGAGACATTTTGAGGAGTTAGGTAGACTTACCTTAACCAGTAAAGTGAGAGTGGCTAGGCAGGTTTGGGAAGTGCCACAAGGATTTCTTTTTCTTCTTGAAGCAACTATAAGGTGGTTTGCTAAAATGATTCTCCATTGGTTTGGGCCCCTTCATGACTGTAATCAGCAGTCATTCTGATGACCACTGGCCATGTTGCACAGTTAAGATTAAGTCTTAATTGTGTTAAGTCTCTAAAACTTGAGAGATGTTCTCATAAGAGGAGACAGATTCTATACTCACATTTTAAACATACCTGGTCTTTCAATCACATCTGAAAACTCACATGCTGATTTATGTTGCCAACACCCCAACGAGATTATTGTGTAAGGATAACAGACTTGATCTGACCTCATGCCTTCTGCACTGAACACTGTTGAGCATGTCTGTCTTCTTAACCCTCCTTTATCCCTTGGCTTCTGTGATCCCACTCTTTCAATTCTCCACCTACATCGTTGATCATATGCCTCATTCACTCCATGTTTTTAATTAGTATGCATGTAATTAAAGTGATAATTGCTTTCCAGTGGGTACCTCTTGCTAGGTATCTGCCCCACAAGAGGGATTCAAATAGAGGAAACAATCTTAAGAAGAAACAAGTCTAGAAGAGAGCTCCTCTCTTTCTGGAACTGATGGTTCTTCAAAGTCATAATCATTTACTGGGTGTTATGTAGGTTTTCCCTCACCCTCAGTCATGGTACCCCAACCTAGAGTGGGATACAATTCTGTCGTGTGTCTCATCTTCTCATATCTTTGTTTATTGATCATGGATGCCATAGTCCAAGACTCATTATTTACCTTCTGGCTTCCTCTAATCAGCTCTGGATTTCCCTTCCTCCAGCAATAATTCTGCATAGGATTTTTGCAAAGACCTTTATAAAACACAAAGAATGGAGTATTTCTATCTATGTACCCAATGACATAAAATCACAGATGCCATCTTACTACAGCAGAATTATAAACTCTTCTCAGTAGTCTTAGGAAACTATGGTTTCTCAAGAGTCTGGTCTTGTCACCTGCCATACATGCCTTGATGTACTTCATATGACCTTGTGTATATTGTCTCCTGGACTTGGACTTGATTCGTTGACAAAAACAACCCAAAACAATACACACACACACCACCACCGCCGCTGCCGCCACTGCCACCACCACCACCACCACCACCACCAACAACAACAACAATAACAAACAGTCCAAAACCCCAGTTATACCATTACTTCTTCAAGAGAGGCTTCCACCAGTCTCAACTCTAAGTATCAGGCGTCTTGTTACCAAGCTCGTATAGTGCCAATAATACGTATCAGTGGAAGGCAGTGTAGGTACCAGTTTGTTTTCAAAATGGTGTTGTTCAACACTATAAGCTTATATTTCATCTCTACATTCCCCACCCTTAAAAAATGTCTGACCAAGTACTAGGTATACAATAAATGTCAGATGAATGCTACAGCATGGGTCTGGGCAGCTGTGACTGTGAGATTTACTTTTAACTGAAGATAATTTGTGAGTAATAACAGACCTCTAAGATGACAACATTTTCTTAAGGACTAGAATGGTAGGCATTTGAAAATTCTCAGCAGTGGCATGAGAAAGGATGGGGATAGAATGAGGGGTTCTAGGACTGTGGCTTTGTATTATCCACAGTTCTGTTTTCTCGATTCTCTAGGTAACACATCAAATATGTTTGAAGTATGCATAATCTAAGACATTAAGAACTTTGCAAAGGCAGCTATCAATATATTTAAATAGATATCGAAATCTCACATTTTAGTTCTAATGAGAAGCTTTTACTATCATCTTAACTTTGACATTTGCAAAATCGTTCTCCAAGAGTGACAATTTGGCTAGTTTTGTTTGCATTTTTCCAGATGAGCCAAGTTCAGGTTCAGAAGACAGCATGCACAAAGTCACGAGAACTACAGCAGGGCATATGTGGTAGGTAACAAGACTAGACAATTGAAGCCCAGCTCAGAAAACCCATGCAAAGAGTTTATAACTCTACCGTAATAATGTCACATATGTGATGTTGAGTATGAAGACAAATGTGTCCAAATAGTCTCCCCCTCATTTTTCCCATTTACTGGAAAGCCTAACAATTTCTCTTATTTTACCAACTAATCTCAAGGGTTTTCCCCCCTCTCCTTTTATTTCTTTAAATACAATCACTATGGGAATGTGCTGAGACTCAGGATGTAGAGAAAAGATGATGGTAAGGGGTTGGCACTTACCAGAACCAAATACATAGACGAGGATTATGCCTCCCAGCATGCCTTGTGTTCTCAGATATTGTGTCCTCCCATATCTTCTAGGTCTGGAAACTCTCTTATCTTTAGCAAAAGCTAGGCAGAATTTCAAATATGACATTGTAGAGAAATTACTTTCCTTGTCGCCAAGAAAGAAAGAGAAAAGACAAGAGAGACATCTCTTTATATGCAGAGTCTGGCACTGTCAACCTTTGGAACTTGCCTCCCATACTCTCTGCCCTTGGCCTGCAGAATTCAGGGTTGCTGTGTAGCACAAGGAGGTGTAAAAACAAACATGGGCAGAACCCCAGATACTAGACTGTAAGAAACGTTCTGAAAGCTATAAAAGTGAAATACTGCTTCCAGCTGTCCCTTTGTGCCAGGATTAAGTTGAGCTTGAAGGGACTGAAGAGACTAAGCAAGAATGGCATCATCTATTCCAGTACAATACAGGTTGCAATTCTCTAAGCTTTCTGCTAACGAATTACTCTCAATCCTGACCTCTCTCTACTCGCTGACACATTGTTTAACTTGCCTTTACCTGTGCATTTGAAGACAGAAAGCTGCTGATGCTCAGAAGCATAGGAATGCTTCATAATATTCCCCTTCTGTAGCCAAGAACCTCCTGCCCACTGCTTACTTTGTTTTCCTAGGATGTGCCATCTTCTGTGGTGGCTCTTTTTTATTGCACAGATCATTGTCAAAACGAAGATTGTCACCCAAGGTTAGATGCTAACACAGCAGTAGGCATGTAATAAGCACATAGTAAAACTCTTTGATGGATAGCTTTCATTGAGACAGATCATTTTTGTCATACTTTCTGACCAGTGGTGTTCATAGCATAGTTCCATCCAACTTAAATGTCATTAGACCAGCTTCCCTGAACTGCTTAGATAAAGCACATGCCATCTTCCATGTTCATGTTTCCATTCTTGTTATTTTGGTATTTGGTTTTGCTTTGAGACAAGGTCTTATGTATCCCAGACTGGCCTTGAACTCACTGTGTACTCACAACTGATCTTGGATTTCTGATCCTCCTGTCTCCACTTCAAGAGGCCTGGTATTACAGGCTGTGGAACATACCCAGTTTTATGCAGTAATAAGGATGGAAGACCAGTCCTTGCGGATACTGGATAAATACAATGCCAGCTGAGCCATATTTCCAGATTCTCATATGGTCCTTTTCAGCTTCTGAGAGTTTTGCCAGTCCTTTGTTTCACATTCATTTCAAGATGAATGACAGCTCAGAAGTACATAGCAGAAAAATAGAAGATAATGTAGCCATGGTTTGCAGGACTCTCTCTGCATCCTATGCTTTCATTTTTAATATGGCAGTTTTTGCCTGAAGCTCATATTGATGTTTTCTTGTGTTCAGATGAGTGGGCATGGGAGAATTTATTTTTGAATATTGCTGAAGCATAATGATTCAAATCTTTTTTATCATTAAGTGTGCTCAATAAGATCCCATTTGGAGCCTGGTCTCCCTCCTCCCGGCTGTCTTTTATTAGGGTCTGATTTCTCTGTCCTGAAGCAGGACTTCACACTTGCTGCTCTTGAACGGAGACCATTTCCACATGTGAACTTGGGAGTCAGGCCCTGGGAGGAAATGAGGCTAACCTGATCATAAACCGTGGAGCCCCTCTAAAACTGTGTAAACACAGGCAGAGGTATTTCTTAAAGTTCACGCCAGAAGAAAAAGGCAACATGTTTTTGAAGTCTGTGAAGCTTTATTCTATGTCAAAGCCCTCATCCAGGTTTAGGAATTCACACTGAGCAGTGGCTCATCTTATGCCAGCTGACACTCAGAGTAATATTTGGCAAAATTAAATATTTTTGCTAATGCTAGTGTTCCTCAGCTTTTTGAAAGTATTTCTAATAAAGGAAAATGTCAAAGTGTGTCAAGAGCAACACCTTATGTGGTTCAACCATTTAAGTCTTAAGCCGCATAATGAAACTCCCAGCCTTCTTCTTGGTGACTTTCATCATCTTGAGGTAGTCAATCACTGAACAAATTCCATGAGCTAACCTAGTCCTTTGTCTACAGACAGAAATGTAGCAGGTATCAGTTCGAAGGCTTTTCACATTTCATTTCAAACCTTGCTCTACTACAGTGAACTTTCTTTTAAAGCTTCTCTCAAAAAGAAACTATCAGATTGCATTGTAATGGCGGGACATTAATAAAAAGATGCATTTATGTGCATTTACATATAGACCACATATGCATCTACATATAATATACATACATGAAATACTGAAATATAATTATTTTTGAAATGGAGTTCCACTCCTCAACCCAGACTTAGGTAGCATCCTCATGTGGTGCAGGCTGGTTTTGAACTAACAGTAATCTTCCTGTCTCAGTCTCTTGTTATAGGTGTACCCCACCACACACTCTGCAGTTGTATTTTTAACACAAAAAAAGTCATAAATGCCTTCACACTTATGAGTCATAAATGTCCTCAGTGAAAATTTGCAATTGTGGAAAAACAAGATGTTTTAGATTCAGTTATTATTTCCATCTTACAGTTGCAAGGTTGGAGCATGGAGACATTTAAGTCACCAAGAACCAGGTACAGAGGAGTGGAGTAAGAAGACAAGGCTTTAGTTTGGGAATTTGTCTTTTCTGTATCTAGATATTTTTATTGGATTCATAATGTGTGTTACTTAATAACTGTGTGAGCTTCATGACATATATTTGCATAAGCTTGAATAATTTATGTAAATGATGGACCATTCGCTGTGACTTTTTTTTTCATTTTTTAAATTTAAATTAGAAACAAGCTTGCTTCACATGTCAATTGAGCTCCCTCTCCCTTCCCTCCTCCCTCCCCCAAGCCCCTCTGATCCCCAGGGAGGGTGAGGCCCTCTATGGAGGATCTCCAGAGTCTGTCATTTCATCCAGGGCAGGGCCTAGATTTTCCTCCATGTGTCCAAGCTGAGAGAGCATCCTGCCATGTGAAATGGGCTCCCAAAGTTCATTCATACGCCATGGTAAATATTGATCTACTACCCAAGGCCCCAGAAATTGTCGAGGCCACTTCACTAACATCACATTCAGGGGGTCTGGATTAGTCCCATGCTGGCCTCTCAGCCATCAGTCTGGGGTCCAAGAACTCCCCCTTGTCAGGTCAGCTGTTTCTGTGGGTTTCACCATTCAGGTCTTGACTCGTTTGCTCATCATTCCTCCCTCTCTGTCACTGGGTTCCAGGAGTTCAGTTCAGTGTTTAGCTGTGGGTATCTGCCTCTGCTTCCATCAATTGCTGGATGAAGGTTTGGCAGTGGGATTATAGGCTGGTACTCCCCTGATCCATATCTAAAATCCATATATGAGTGAGTACATACCATGTTTGTCTTTTTGTGACTGGGTTACCTCACTCGGATGGTTTCTTCTAGTGCCATCCATTTGCCTGCAAATTTCAAGATTCCATTGCTTTATTCCACTGAGTAGTATTCCATTGTGTAAATGTACCATATTGTCTCTATCCACTCTTCAGTTGTGGGGTATCTAGGTTGTTTCCAGGATCTGGCTATTACAAATAATGATTCTATGAACATAGTGGAATAGTTGTCCTTTTTGTATGAATGTGCGTCTTTTGGGTATATGCCTAAGAGTGGAATTGCTGGTTCTTAGGGTAGACTGAGTCCCATTTTCCTGAGGAATCTCCATACTGATTTCCAAAATTACTGCAAAGTTGGCACTCCCACCATCAGTGGAGGAGTGTTCCCCTTTCTCCTTATCCTCTCCAGCATAAACTGTCATTGGTGATTTTGATTTTGGCTATTCTGACAGGAGTAAGATGATATCTCAGAGTTGTTTTGATTTGCATTTCTCTAATGGCTAAGGACACTGAGCACTTTTTAAAGTGTCTCTCAGCCATTTTAGACTCCTCTATTAAGAATTCTCTATTTAATTCTGTACCTCACTTTTTAATTGAATCCTTTGGTGTTTTAGGAGAATTGCTTCTTGAGTTCTTTGAAAATTTTAGAGATCAGCCCTCTGTCAGATGTGGTGCTAGTGAACATCTTTTCCCAATATGTGGGTTGCCTTTTTGTCTTGCTGACTACGTCCTTTGCCTTACAGAAGTTTCTCAGTTTCAGGAGGTCCCATTTATTAATTGTCGATCTCAGTGACTGTGCTACTGGTGCTATGTTCAGGAAGCAGTCTTTCGGGTATATTCCTAAGAGTGGAATTGTTGGATCTTGTGGTAGACTGTACCAATTTGTTCAAGGGTACCTCTCACCATTCACTGTGGCTTCTTTTTAAAAAAATTGAAAATAATTTTTTCTTTTTTATTCATTGAAAATAGGTTCTTCTCTCATACAATACATCTTGACCACACATACCTCTTCCTGCACTCCTCCAAGGTACGTCCCAATTTCCCTCTCTCCCAGACCCACCATTTCCCTTCAGGAATGAGCAACCTTTAAAGAGACAACAACAAAACACAATACAAAAAGAATACAATAAATCAATGGAAAAGTCCTCATATTTAAGTTGGACAAAGCAATCTGATATAATGAAAAGGGTCCTAAGAGCTGGCAAAAGAGTCAATGACACACCTATTCACTCCTGTTAGGAGTCGTACAAAACCAACAACCTAACAGCGATAGCATGCTCAGAGGGCCTGTTGCAGACCCATGCAGTCCCTGTGCTTTCTGCTTCTGTCTCTGAGCCCATATGAGCCCTACTTACTTGATTTAGTGCACCATGTTCTCCTGTGTCCTCCATCCCATCTGACTCGTACAATCTTTCCTACCTCTCTTCAGAGGGGTTTCCTGATCTCCTGGGGGTGGGACCAAATGAAGACTTCCAATTTAGATTATTTCCATATAATGTCTAGCTGTGAGTCTCTGCATATGCTCCCATCTTCTGCCAGAGAAGGCCTCTTTGATGACAACTAAACAAAGCTCCAAGAGTAGTGTAACTGGTTTTTGAGGTAGATAGATTCCCCATTTTCTGATGAACCACCACCTTGATTTCCATAAAAGGTTGAACAAGGCTGTGCTGCCACCAGCAATGGAGGAGTGTTTCTGTCACTTTACATCCTTGCCAATATTAGCAGTCACTTGAATTAATGATCTTTGCCATTCTTGCAGGGGTAACATGGAATCTCAAAGTAGTTTTGATTTGCATTTCGGGTTAGGGATGAGGACTTATGT